AAACCACCCAACAAGCAAACATTAACAACTTAGGAAAGAACTCCCTATTTGATAAAAAAAAAAAAAGCTATTGAAAAAAGTAGAAAGCAATTTAGGAAAAATTAGGCTTAGACCAATAACTTAAAACATATCCCAAAATAAATTATAAGTGGATGTGATTTCAAATTTCAAAGATTATACCATAAAAAAATTTAGAAAGAGAAGCAGATCAAATAGCTATGGGTAGGACAAGCATTTTTAACCAAACAAGGGATAAAGGCCAAGATAAATAACAAATTGACAAAGAAAAAATAGATAACTGATTATATGAATTGAAAAGCTTCTGCACAAAACTTAAAGCACCTAAGATAAAAAAAAGAAGGGGGGAAAAAAAAGCCTTCATAGCACATTTCTCAAATAAGGGCTGGATATCCCAGATATATAGACAACAGATTATAACTAAGCCTAAACACTTTTCCCCAGTATATTAGTCCTCAAAGAAATGAACAAACAGTTCTCAAAAGAATTGGAAACTATTTACAACCATAGGAAAGAATGCTCCAAATCACTAACAATGAGAAATACACATCAAAACCCTGGGGCTTTACTTCACACCCAGAAAATTAGCAAAGATGACAAAGGACAGGAAAAGTCAAAGTTGGAGGGGTTGTGGGAAGACAGGCACACAAGTACAGGGACTGATGGAGCAGTGAATCCATACAACCATTTAGAAAAGCAATTTGGAATTATGCAAACAAAGGGACTAAAATGTCCATACCCTTTGGCCCAGAGATTCTACCACTACCTTATACCCCAAAGAAGTCATTGATAAGAATAAAGTCCCTATACAGGCCAAAATATTTATAGCAGCATTTTTGTAGTAGGAAAAAACTGGAAACAAAGTAGATTATCATTGATGGGGGAATGACTAAACAAATTGTGTTACATGATGTAGTGGAATATTATTCCATGCTGCTGGAGGAAGCTAAGTGGCACAATGCATAGAGCACTGGGTCTGGAGTCAGAAAGACCTGAGTTCAAATGCAACTTCAAACACTTACTAGTGTGGTCCTCGGCAAATTGCTTAACCTTAGACTGTCTCAGTTTCCTCAGCAGTAATATGGGGATGAGAACAGCACCTATCTCACAGGGTAGGGTTGTTGTGAGGATCAAATGAGACAATGTTTGTAAAGTGGTGCCAAGGTTACCTGTTTTCCTGGCCCGTAAGTCCTCCAGGAGTTATTTGGAGGCATACTCAGCTAAAGGCAGCTAGGTGACACAGTGGATAGTTTTGGACTTGGAATCAGGAAGAACTAAATTTGAATCTTGCCTCAGACATGTGTAACCCTGGAATAGTCCTTTAACTTCTCATGGCCTCAGTATACTCAGCAGTAAAATTGCTTGATAATAATAGTACCAACCTCACAGGGTTGTGAGTACAGTGCCTGGCCCTCAGTGGGAGTTATATGGTTATTTCCTGCTCTCCACTGCACTACCACCCCCCCAAGAAACAACAAACATGAGTAGGAAAAGATTTACATGGTCTTATACAAAGTGAAGTAAGCAGAATCAAGAAAACAATATACACAATAACTGCAAAAATGTGAATGGAAAGACCACAAAAGAACTAAAAGTGAATATCACAAAACTACAAAGAACAAACCTGACTCCAAAAAGATATAATAAAGCTTCACCCCTACTCAGTTCCTTTGCAGAGCTGGGAAGTCTTCTAGTGCAATGCACATATTTTCAGATTTTTTTTAATGTATTAGTCAGTTTTGCTGATTCCAAATTTTTTTCTTTAAAATATTATTTTTAAGGCTACTGGGAATAAAAAAATATAGCCATAAAAATTCATTTTAAAAAAAAGCTTTTATTACTCTGTTACTATGCGCAAAGAAAAGAAACAAGCTTAGCAATAAGGTCTCAATAAGGTCTTAGCAATAAGCTAACCTCTTGCCTCATTTCAGGCTCCATTTCTTCTTTCAGCCTGACAACTTTGCCCATACACCATAACCTTAACTATGAGAGGGCATCATAAGAATGAGTTCTGGATTTGGTGGCAATGACTTTGTGGCTAAAGTAGTGAAATCTCAGTTTCCTTAAATTGGAAGTAATAACCTATGTATTGCATTATCACAAAAGTGTTACGACATTTCAGCTAGGACAAGGTGTGTACAACATTCCCATCACTGTAAAGCTTTATGTAAACTTGGGTTTTTATGATACCACTTATTTAACATGATGAAAAATTACCTCATATTTTTATCTTTTGGGGTGTGCGTAGATGACTATGTTTATCTCTTGCATCTCTCACAGCCTCAGTTCTGTCCTGTCCATAGTCACAGGCAGCATTAAATATTTGTGGCTTGATTCTATTCTGTTCCTCCTCAGAATTTAATATATCCCTTTGCCAACCAACCCAATCATGTGAAAATCTTTGTGATACCTAAAGCTCTCCAGAGAGAGATCCTACAAAACAACCTTTAAGAATACTATGAGAAAAATCCTTCCTTTTCTTCTTCTACCCTAAATCTTCTCCATTGCAGATTATCTGTTCCTTCAAAGGTCTGGACACGTCCATCGGTGAATCTAATGGATTAACTGTCCTCTTCAGCATTACACCCAGGACAAGGAAGAATAAAAGGGCTAAGCTGACTTAGGACCAGCAGGGCACTCACTCAGTTTAAGATAACTTTGCTATTGGTTTGGAGGTCCTGCCTCCCTGCACTGGATTTCAGAGTTGATCAGAGAGGTATAACCTGATCTGCCAATAATCAAGCTGACCTAGATTTGCGTTTACACAAAGCCCAGCAAAGGCCAGGCTCCCCTATCAAACAGAGATTGTCCCCAGGTTCTTTCCAGGAACAGAAGAAGGTAGAATAACCTGCAATTCACTCCCAATGATCACACAGAAACACTGTGAGTAGGTGACCTTTCCTGATCTGCAGATTATGCTGCCAGGTTCCTTTGGGTCATCCTGGTCCAGGGGATGAAAAAACCAAACAACAAACAAAATTCCACCTTCCTCTATAGTGTTTTTGAAGTTGTAGGTTTTATCCTCCAAAAGACTCCGGGGTCAAGACAGAAGGAAAGCACTAGATAGCAATTCCAGACTTGCAGGGTCACCACACCCAAGTTCCCAAACCCTATTGACTGCTGTTTCCAAAGGGTCTAGGTATACATGAGATCAAAGTCAGGCCTCAATTCAAATAACATTTAATTCTAGAACTATATTTGCTTGTGTGTGTGTGTATATATATATATATATATACACACACTATATATAGCTTGTAAACCTTCCCCAAAGCAGGATCCAGGATTTATTTTACCTGTCTAGTTATACTTATGGACTGTTCCCAGATTTGTGCACCCTAGCAAACCTTGAAAATTGAATCCATCTGCTGGAGGTGTTGACCTTTCCCTGTAACAGATGGAACTTAATATCAGGAAATAAATACCTAGGAGCTTTATAAGGCAGATAAAACACTTGCATTTATCCATAGTGTACCCTAGAGGTGGCTCCCTACCTTACCAGCCACTAGTCCCTAGCTCTGCCTATGTCTTTGACTCCTGGTGAGTCTAAATCCTTCTCTGGAATTTGACCAACTCGCTTTGACCATCTGAAGACTGGCTAACCCTGAGGAGCTTCCTGAGGTGAAGATGTATTCAGTTGATCTGACTGAAAAAAACTGTAAGACTAGGGGTCCTCCAAAGATAGTAGTGTGTGCATATGTGTTGGCAAGAAAATCTAGTTGAACATCTTGCCCTGCTACTTCTCTGAAAGGCAAATGTGGGTAGTAGAAAGGTGCTAAACAGCTAGATGGGGCAATGGATAGTGCCCAGCCTGGAGTCAGGAAGACTCATCTTGAATTCAAATCTGGCCTCAGACACTTATTAGCTATGTGACCCTGGGCAATTCACTTAACCCTGTTTGCCTCAGTTTCCTCATTGATGAAATAAGCTGGAGAAAGAAATGGCAAACCACTCCAGTACCTTTGCCAAGGAAATTCCAAATTGGATCAGGAAGAGTCAGACACCACTAAAAATGATTGAACAACAAAGAAAGGTGCTGAACTTTGGAGTTAGGAGCCTGAGCTAAAATTCAGATCTTTGCTACCTGTGTGACCTTGAACAAGTCATTCTCTGAACACTTCCCCCATCTGTAAAACAGAGATAATATGCTATTGACCTTATAAAGTTGTTTTGAAGAAAGCACTCTGTAAACCTTAAAGCACTGTATAAACATAAGCTGCTGTTGCTTTGCCAATTTCTGGTGCTCGATCAAGTGGAGGATAGATTTTTTTTTAGGAAAGAGGTTTGTCCTTCCCATTCCCCAACCCCCATGACTAGAGGAGCCAAATAAGTTGAATTACCCAGATACTGGCAATTAGTTGGTGAGGGCCAAGCAAAGAAGCAGGAGCTACATAACTGGGTGATAAATCTGTGCTCTGTTGGCATGTTCCTGCTTTCTAATCAATAGACCCTAGGCTCTGAGGCCAGTCAATTCACATCACATCTCCTTCAATCCTCACAACCTGTCTTACCTCTCCTCCCACATTAAACAAGTTTTATTCAATCAGAGGCCAAGAGAGACATCAAAGAACTAGCCAAGCAGAACTCCAGCGAGCCATCTCAAGCACTTCCATTACACCCTGAATTTCCCTAGGTTGTGATCAAAAATAGTAGCCTAGGTTTTTGGAAATCTTCAAGCAGAAGGGTGCTTAAAGTATCATCACCCTCACCCCGAGGGTTTTCACTAACTGCTCCCAGAATGGATACTATACGCACGTCCCATCCCAGCAATTCCAAGGCTGGGACTCTGGCCGCGGACCCGCGCTGTGTTATTGGGACAGCCGGCCTCGATATCTATCAGAGGACCACGAAAGGCTAGATCGCCAGATTCTCGAGCCAGGGGATGTCACGCCTGGGAAGAGGCAGGAGAGGCCCGACGTTTGCAGACTCAAAGTTGTCAGGCCCCGCGGACCGGTCCCCATCTCCTCCCCAAAACCCTTACTCACCAGCTGTCTCTGGAGAAGGCGCGGAGAAGCCAGATGCCGGGAGCTAGGGAGCTCCGCATGGTGCTCAGACAAGGGGACCGGCTACTATCCTAAAGTTGAAGAAGAAGTAGGTGCGGGAAAGCTGGGAAAGCTTACTGAACAGTGGCTGCTGAGCTGGATTTAAATGCACCGCCGGCTCGGCCCGCCCCCGACCCCCAAGCCAAAAGCTAGCTGACCCGGCCCCTTTGCTTTGTCCCGCCCCATGACTGTTCTCCCAGCGGCTGGGTCAAGGCCCAATTGCCCCGCCGTAGCCCCAGCCCTCTCCCCTATCATAACGCTCCCCCGCATCCCTACCTCCTCTCAACTTGGGTTAATTCGGCCTTTATTTTCGCCTCCCTGGCTCTGGGGCCTAAGGACCTCTATCTGCCCGAGTTCAACCCTAACTTACCCTGACCTCTCCCATTCCACCCCAGAGCCCCTACACTCTCTGGCCTGGCTACTGGGGAGCCTACTGAAGTAAGCCCACCAGCATTATCTTTCCCATAAAGTGCTTGGCCTGCATCCACATCCATCGGCCTTATCCCTTTCCAAACCTTCCCATAAAGGCAAGGCACAGGATGTTGCCTGGGTGGGACAGAGGAAACTATAGTACAGAAACCTGGGTTTGGAAAAGCTGAGTTATGCCATGATTAAAGTGAGATCAGAATGCCCAGCTTTACTCTAGTCAAATCATATAACTAGAGCTGAAGGAACCACAGATACCATCTAATACCCCCCTTCATTTTACAGAGGAGGAAACTGAGGCCCAAGAAAGTTACTGAATGTGCCTCCTCATGACTGGTAGAAGAATCATTCCTCTTGACTATAGTACTCTGAAGGGGTTCAGGGACACCAAAAGGAACCTGTGGGTTACTGGAGAGAAATTCATCTGTAAAATGGATTATAGGCTGTGGGGAGGGGCTGTGAAGCATATAGGCCAGAGGCTGAGTCCCCACACAGCAGAAGTAACGGAAGAACACACACACAAATGGAGACTGTCTACACAGGTGAAGAGGAGAGAAACAATTTGCTACTTTCCTCTCTGTTCCCCCTCTCCACCCCTGAAATGCTGGAGGATGGTAATTGAGTCAAAAGAAATAAACCCAATGACAAGAATTCCAGTTATTAGGCTCGAAGGCCCTGAATGATGGGTTTGGCTGACACTAGCCCCGTAGGGCCAAGCAGAAAAAGACTATTAAGAGTCATAAAACCCAGTGAGTAAAGGTAGGAGCATGGGTACACAGGGAGAAACAAAGGAAGCAGTGCAGAAACAGGAGGTGCAGGACCTGGGCTGGGGCCCATGCTGGCTTTTGGAGGGGGAGCGGGAAGGGGGCATTGAAGATGGGAGGAATCAACTGTAAAATAGGGAGGGTCGGGGCAGAAGGGAGAAAAGGAAGTTTTAAAAGGGTTTTCTTTTGGGAGAGGGAAGATTACTTAGCTTTAGTAGCACCTACTACAGCAAAAAAGGCCTAGTGGAAAGTAAATGAGGAAGGGAGATAAGGAAGACACGAGAGGAGGGCAGGACATAAATCGTTTAATAGAGTAATGGTCACTGATATTGCATGAAAGAGCTTAGTGCCAATATGAAGAATTCCTGGGGGTTGGAGGTGCTGGAGAGGAAGCCGGCCGCCAGAATGACTGCGGCACCGCTGCGGGGCAGCACCACCCCAGTCTGGGATATCGAGAGCTAGTCGGTGCCGCGGGGCCCGCCGCTGCCGAGGAGCGGCAGCCCGGCTGGAAACCCAGCCCGGTGTTCTCGTTCTCACGGTCCCCGCCGCCCTCTGCCGCCGCTGCTACATCCCTGGAGGAAGACAAGCCCCCTTCCCGCCCCCCGACTGCGCTCCCTGCCTGGACCCCGAGCACCCCGGCCCCTGCTGCGTCCTCCTCCACCCCGGCCCAAGCGCAGAGAATCCTCGGGCTCTGCTGCTGTTGACTTTCTTTCTATTAGCAAGACATTAAGAAGACAGAAGTATTTGGTGCCAGATTGTTCCTGCTACTTTCATTGTCAGTATTCAGCACTATGAGTGGGACAGCATACATCGTCCTGGCCCTGATTTCTGTGACCATCAGTTTCAGGGTGTACAATGGAGTGATCCAGGCAATCCAGAAATCTGATGAAGGTCATCCTTTAGGGGCCTACCTGGATTCTGAAGGTGCAGTATCTAGGGAGTTGGTTTAGAAGTACAGCAGTTCTCTGCTTGGTCATGTCAAGTACACAATCAAAGAACTCAGGTGCTTCTTCTTAGCTGATGATTTAGTTGATTCTTTGAAGTGTGCAGTATTTATGAGCATCTTTACCTATGTTGGTGCCTTGTTCAACGGCCTGACACTACTGATATTGGCTCTGATTTCACTTTTCAGAGTTCCTGTTATTTATGAAAAGCATCAGACACAGATTGAATAGGACTTGTGAATAAGAATGTTAAAGATGCTATGGCTAAAATCCAAGCAAAAATCTCTGGAATGAAATGGATAGCTGAGTAAAATCAGCAATAAACACTACTAGGAATTCATCATTCAGGGGGAATTTTCATTTGGATTCCATGAAAAGAGTCTGGGGAGAATGGAGCCTTAACATTGCAGAGCAGTCTCACAAATCTTTATTTTTTAGCAATGCAGTGTATGAAGAAAAATATTTGTTTTCACTGCTATGTGTTTCATCATCTTAAGTATCATAAGCTGCTATGTCTGAATTTCAGCTATAATCATCTTTGTTTATATTTTGTAGTGGAGGTAGTCTTGCTGTACTTCAGGAAGCTGTGTAGCAGGTGGAACTGACAGTAGAACTCACAGTTTGTGCCCTATGTATGGGCTGTGTAGAATGATGCAGAGTTTTCAAAAATAAAATGTTTAGGGACAGCTGAGTGGTGCAGTGGATAGAGCTTGGAGTTGGAGGACCCAAGTTCAAATCCACCCTCAGACAGTTGACACTTACTAGCTGTGTGACCCTGGGCAAGTCATTTAACCCTGTTTGACTCATCAAAAATTGAAGGAAAAAATGTCTAGAAAAGATCACACCACTAAAGCAAGAAGGAACAAGCTTTCCTTCTTGGTGCAGGTCTAGCTGTATTGTGATTTTACTGTTTCATTAATTGCCAATATATATATATGGAGAGACAGAGAGAGTGTGTGTTTCACAAAGCTTGGACCTTTCAGCTATCCCACAGTGCTTGATATTTAAGAGTTGATGGTTCTATAAGTAGCTGAAAATCACATGAGCTAGAAAAAGAAACTATATTTCTAAGAACACTACCATTCATTTTCAACATAAAACACAGTCCCATGACCATAGAGAGTCTACAACATACACTTCATTGCTCAAACCTACTGTAGTTAATTTCATCACACACTTGGGATCTATGGACTGAATCTAATGCTGAAAAATAAATGTTGTTTGGAAATATCAAACATTGTTATGCAAGAAATTACAAATTAAGATTTGTTCAATTGCTGTTTAAACTGTACCTGAACTAAGTCTGTGAAATGCATTGTGAAATGTAAAACCAACCAAGTACCATTAAAACTTAAAGACATAAAATTTTAAAAAGGGGGTGGGGGTGGGCAGCTAGATGGCAAAGGAGATAGAGCACCCTATGGTCTCAGACACTTGACACTAACTGTGTGACCCTGGGCAAGTCACTTAACCCTGATTGCCTTGGGAGGGGGGAAGAGGGGAAGTCTTCAAAAGAAGACTGAAGATGGAATACTAGTGGTCCAGGGAGGTTGGAGAACTTGGCCCTTGGGAAAGGAGGGTCATGGAAGAATAGCATAGTTTAGACAGTAGAATATAGAAATAAAATTTGGAGGAACCATCCAGACATAAGGTGAAATTCTGAATATTTTAAACTAGAAAAAAATTTTCAATTCACCCTTCTTCTTATGCTAAGTAACCTTTCAATCCCCCCTGAGCTTGTTTTATCTGTAAGATGGCAGAGTTGGGCTTCTTCCTTCTGCCTTTTTGTTTTACTAAGAAAGGAAGCAACAGTATATCTGCCCCAAACACATAAAGACCCAGATTATCAGCACATGCAAATAAAAACAGAAATTATATAAGCCTTTTAAGTCTTTAATTATTTTAGACCTCTTGACTAATTTCTTTAACTGCTGAGCCAAGTGGGTACACACATTTCCATTTTTGTCCTCAGTACAGTAAAAGGTTCACTTACAGTGGATTGAGAAGGGGAGGGAGAACATTTATTAAGTGTCTACTACATGTCGGGCACAATGCTAAGCACTTTTCAAATAGCCTGTCATTTGATCCTCATAACACCCCTAGGAGGTAGGTACTTATGATCCCCATTTTACAGTTGAAGAAACTCAGTAAAACTGAAGCTAAGTGACTTGCCTAACTAATAATGGTCTGCGGTCACATTTGAACTTGGGTCTTCCTGACTCTACACCCAGCACTCTATCCACTGCACCACCTAGCAGCCTCAGAACCAGGATGACATGAGTTCAAGTCCCATCTCTGACTCTGCTGGCTGTGTGACCTTCAACAAATCACTTAATCTCTCAGCCAACTAGGCAACTCACTAAGGCTGTAAATTGCAAAAAAATTTCTGACCTACTTAGGTAGAGAGTTTTCTCTTCAGACAGCTCCCCATTCCACTGAAATCACAAGACCAGTCCTCAACTCCATAATGATTACAAATAAAATAATCCAGTGGCTATCACTAATGGATCTAAGATGATGATATAGATAGGAATAAGAACCCTAAAATGTGTCATGGTTTGGGTTTGTTACGCAGGATTCTTAAGCAAGTCAGTTCCTGGAGGGCAGGAACTATGTTTTATTTCACCTTGATATTTCCAGTGCTTAGCAAGGTGCATTATATGTAATAAGCACTTTAGTCTCATGTCTGGCCATGGCACTGAAGAGACACTAGGTTCTCAAAGGCAATGCCAAATACCACACATTCTGGTAAAAATACAGGCCTGACGATGGCCCATGTGTCAGTAAATCTGTCATCCAAGTTCCAGCCTAAGTTTGAAGAAGTCAGCAATAGCTTCTGAGTGTAAAGAAACTCTTCTTGACCAGCTACATTAAATCTGGGGTTTTCCTTATAGTCTTTCTAAACCTGGTTGATCTAGATTGTTGGGGCAATGAAGGGTTTTTTGTCTTTTTGTTGTTGTTATTATTGAGGCTATTGAGGTTCAGTGACTTGCCCAGAGTCACATAGCTAGTAAGTGTCAAGTGTCTGAGGTCAGATTTGAACTCAGGTCCTCCTGACTCCACAAGTCAGCACTCTATCCACTGTGCCACCTGGCTGCCCCATTTTGCTTTGGTTTTTTTGGCTATAACAACTCTTTAAGGCATATGGAGGGGGCTGTTGTCTGCATTTGTAGGAGTACCTACATGAATGAAGTTACAGATCATTGAAATCATGATGTGAAAATGTGTTCATTCAGATGCTATCAGCATTAAATGATCTCATCTCTTTCTTGCCACTGAATTTCACCCACCCAGTGTTCTTGACAGCTTGAATGGACAAGGTGATTAAGCATCCAAAAGTGGGCTTGATTCAAATGAGTTTTAAACCCAGGACAGAAAGGCCTTATAAATAAAACCCCAGATGATGTGGCTGGTCAGGAGAAGGAGTAGGTGGCATAGTGGATAGAACGCTGGCCCTGGAGTCAGGAGGACCTGAGTTCAAATCCAGCCTTCGACCCTTACTAGCTGTGTGACCCTGGGCAAATCACTCAGCCCTTTTTGCCTCAGTTTCCTCATCTGTAAAATGAGCTAGAGAAGGAAATGGCAAACCAATCCAGTATCTTTGCCAAGAAAACCCCAAATGGAGTCATAAAAGTTGGGCATTACTAATCAACTAAAAATCAATAACCGTTTATATACATATATACATACATACATACATATTTATATATATTCTCTCAAAGATATCATTGATAGCAAATGTCTGTGGAAGCAAGGCAATTCTCTTCAAAAGGAATGGAATAAATCACTTTATGTCTGTTTACCCACCTATAAAATGAGAGGCCAGGACTAGCTCATCTCTGGGGTTTTTTTCAGCTGTAGATCTTTTGCTCCTGAATTCTAGCATTACACAGCCAATTGCCTACTAGACATCACTATCTCCATTAGCACCTCAAACTCTGCATACTCAAAACAGAACTCATCATGTTCTTCCAGTTGTCTTCTCCTCCAAAAAGTCTATCTCTCCTCTAAACTTCCCTTTTTCTGATGATGAGACCATCATCATCCCAGTTACTCAGGTTCCCAAAATCAGCCATCATTTGACTCTTGTCACTTTTTTACCTCCCTCCTTCCTTCACAGTCTTGGGTGAAATTATGAGAGAGGAAAAAAAGATTAAAATTTAGTAGTGAAAGAAGTGAAAAACTCAAGCAGCGTTAAGGGTAATTTTTGATTTCCCTAGCTAGAGTTTAAAGGGAAAATGGCAGTTTAGAATCTCTCTGAAGGATGGAAATAGGGCAACTCAAGTCACTAATTTAACAAATTTGAATGACTGGTTTTGAGAAAGGGATAGAACCCTACAGATCATCCATCCCAGTTCCCTGATTTTACTGAGTTCCTGAGAGGTTGTGTGACTTGCCCAAGGCCACATAGCTAGTTAATAGAGCCGTGAGGAATCCTGGTATCTTTAAGCTTAGTACAGTATTCCTTCGATTATCTCCCACCATGTCCCACCTCCTACTCAATCAATTCCAGCAGTTCCATATTGCCTACTAGCTCAAATATAAAATCCTCTGTTTGGCTATTTAAGTTCTTTATAACCTGGCCTTTTCCTACTTTTCAAATTTTCTTGAACTCTATTTTCTCTTCCCACTCACCCTCCATCACCCTGCAATATAGTGACACTGACTTCCTTGCTGTTCATTAGACATGACACTCCATCTCCCAGCTCTAACCATTTTTTTATTTTAAACAAGAAGTTTATTTAAATAACAAGATGTCTAACATGAAGGGAAAACTATTTAGGATCAATTTCTTTAAAGAAAGGTTTTGGTTTTGTTTTTTTTTTTAGGCAATTGGGGTTAAGTGACTTGCCCAGGGTCACCCAGCTAGTGACTGTCAAGTTTTTGGTCTGAGGTTGGATTTGAACTCAGGTCCTCCTGACTTCAGGGCTGGTGTAGGATCAGTTTCTTTATAGTAATTTATTTCTACTTAGAATCAGAGATTGCCCTACTTGTAACAGCTACATACCAAAAAAGTTACAAAATCCTTCTTGGTTTTAAAATGATAAAAGAAAAACATTGAAATTATACAATCAAACAAGGTATGCAAGGATATTTTGTGAGATCTTTTTTTTTTGTTGTTGTTGTTGTTAAACAGTGGGAACAAAATAACCTACTGGGAATATAAAGATAAAAGTTGAATGAGCATGCCACTAATGGAGAAAAGGGTTATTTTCACAGGACCAGTTTGTTTTTTCCCCCTCCCCATCTCCATTTGGTGTTGATCAAAACATACCATTGGCCATTTAGTTAAAAAAAAAATACACATTATGCCTCTGCACATACACTACTTACTTTATCTACAATAAAGGAATGGGGGAAGGGGATCAAAGAAGAGAGAAAACTATACTGCAGTAGTCAGGATGTGGATGAACCAAATCTTGGTTTTCTAATTGTGAATGTGTTGTTTTCCTTGGGAGCACAGCTCTGGAGTAGAGTTGCAGGTTCTCTTTTTAGTAAGTGCCTCCTGTCTGATGTTGGAATACATCAATTGTATCTTCTCCTCCATTTCCAACTGCACAGGTGTGTCTGTTTCATTGATTGGTTGCCCATCAAATCAGAATCTGATCTGCTTCATTGACAGACCCTGTTGTTCACTATAGGCTTTCATTAGTTTACTAAGTGGTGTGTGCCTCTTAATCTTAAATTGCACCACTGAACCATCTTGTCCAACCACCTTCAAATTAATGTGGTTGTTATTTTCAGTCTTGATTCCTTCCTTTGGTAAATCCAGGGGTCTCCTCAGCTGCCTCTTCACAAAAGAGGCATCAGGATGGTCTGCTCCAAGGGAAGAAGCTGGGCAGGGGGGATAGCGGGGAAAGAGAGAAACAGCAGAGCCAGGAGCAGGAAGAAAAGGAAGATGATGGTGTTGATAATGAGGAAAAGGGGGAAGACGAGGAGCTAAGCATTTTCAATGGCTATCCCCCATATTTGGAATTCTCTCCCTCCTCATCTCTATTTTCTAGCTTCCAACTTCCTAGATTCTTCCTAGTTTCCTTCAAGTATCAATTAAAGTCCCATCTTCTAGGAGAAGCCTTTCCCCCCATACTCCTTAATCTTATGCCTTCCCTCTGAGATTATCTTTAATTTACCCTGTATATATCTTGTTATACATAGTTGCTTCAATGTTGTCTCCTACATTAGACTATGAGTTTCTTAGGTTGTTTTTTGTTTGTTTGTTTGTTTGTTTTTGTTTTTTTGCCTTTCTTTGAATACTTAGCATTTAGCCCAGTGCCTGGCACATAGAAGGTCCTTAAGTGCTTGTTGACTTGATTCCTTCCACTGAGGATCTCTAAAAATTCTTAGCTTGGTAGTTCTATAAACCCAGGAAACGTGGGAAATCCTCCTGAAATATAGATGAATATCCTCTTTTGAGAATGTCTTCTCCATTGGTAAGACCTTCTTTGTAAATAAGGAAGACTTTGTTAATAATAATTAAACATATGCTTCACAAGTTTCTTTTCAGTATCAGCTGAAACACTTTCCCATCTATAGAAGGTTATGAGAAAATATGCTTCTTCTTAAACAAGGAAATTCCTTAGACAAGGAAATCAAGGTATTGAGGTATCTTAAACTCAAACCAGAACTCATTATTCTCTGCAAACCCTGCCTCTTCTGAACTTCCCTATTACTGTCTAGGGTACCACCATCCTTCCAATCACCTGGACGAACAACTTCAGTATCATCCTTAACTTCTTATTCTCACTCACCCCACATATTCAATCTCATCAAACAAATCTTGTTATTTCTTTCTCCACCATATGTCTTGGATTGGTTCCTTCTTTCTATTCACATAGCCACCACCTAGTTTAGGCTTTCATTGTCTGTCACCTGGAGAAAAGCAGCAGTCTTAATTGACCTGTCTCCCTCAAGTTTCCAATCCATCCTCCACAGATCTGCCAAAATGATTTTTCTAAAGTATGAGCCTGTCCATGTCACCACCACTTCCTACTCAATAAGCTACAGTAGCTCTCTACTGCTCCTAGAATCAAATAAAAACTCCTCTCTTGAGCATTTAAAGTTCTTCTCAACTTGGCCCATTCCTGCATTTATCATGTTCTAACACTTCACTCCCCTCCATGTACTCTACAGTCTAGTACTGGCCTACTTGCATTTCTCAAACATGACACTCTCCATGCACTATCTCCATACCTAAAATACTCTCCCTCCTCACTTCCACCTCTCAGTTTCCTGGCTTCCTTTAACATCCCGCTCCAATTCGACCTTCTATGGGGGGCCCTCCAGTTGTAGGCACCTTCCCATCTGGCATTATCTTCCATCTACTCTGTATCTTCTATGTACCTATTTATGTACCTTTTGGAATGCCCTCCTAGAGGACATTGATTCATTTATTCTTAGTTTTCCTAAGGCACAAGGTCTGGTACATAATAAACACTTAATCAGTGCTTGTGGACTTATTGATTAAGCAGGGCAGTGGCTTCCCCAGAGACATATGTTAGCAATCGTATGAGGCTTGTCTCTTAGCTAACCTGTCAAGCCCCTCCCCAATAGCTTCCCTATTCATAAAGCCAGAATTCTCCTCAGCACCCTGGCTCATGTGGAAACTGTCACCTGAGGACCTCCAGTATTTTGCATCAACCTTTGAACATCTATGGGATGTTGGGAGGAACTTTTCTGTTTTATTCAGACTCTGCCTAGTGTCAGGAAAAAAATCTTGGTGTAGTAATCATGAAGTCAGAGGAACAGGACAGGGAAAACTTGTTGGATGGTCAAAGTCAGAAACTGGAGTTCAGAAATCAGAGGCCTAAATCTTCAGGAGAATCATGATGCTTCTCACAAGAAGCAAACAAGGCTGACTAGATAAGGGAAATCAAATTATGGTATATGAATGTAATGGAATATTATTGTGCTATAAGCAATGAAGAAGCAATTTCAGAGAAACCTGGGAAGATGTATATGAACTGGTGTGGAGTGAAGTGAGCAGAACCAAGTAAACAATTTATACTGTAACATCAGTACTGTAAAACCAAATAATTCTGGAAGACTTACAAACTCCATGATTAATCACCATGATCAATCAAATCCAGAGACGAATGATGACCCATCTCCTGACAGAAGCAATGGACGACTATGAAGAATGAAATACAGATTTTTGGACATAGTTTGGAAACTTGTTTTCTTTGATTATACTTACCCCCTTATAAGAGTTTTACTTTTCTTTTCTTCCCCCTCCCCAGTGGGGGAGGGGTGGTGGGAGGACACGGAGGAGAAAAACTTTAATATTAAAAAAAGATAAGTGAAGTCTGAAGAAACAAAATCCAGAGGAACTTCTAGACACACAGACTAATAAGGACTAAAGGAATATCTGCCACCCATATATGTTTAAAGCTCCAAATGCTGATAACAGTAATGGTGAAGACAAGTAAAAGTACCTCCCAATTCTTGTCTTCCTAAGGTGGACAAGCATCTTTATTCTTGGACTTCTCTCTCAAATTGTCTCATTAATGATGTTCTTTAATCCATAGCATTCACTAATGTAAAAAGCAAAGAATAAGCTGACAAAATGGATCAAAATGTTTACTAATGTTGCCAGTGTCTCTAAACAATAAACAAACCTGTGTTAATTCTCTTAGTGAGAAATTGGGTATCTCCCTCTGGCTCTCTATCAGCACCTCAAACTCAAAATATCCAAATCTAAAATTATCTTCCCCCCTAACCTACTACTGATATCTCTATTTCTGTCAATTACCACCATTTTCCTGGTTATCCAATAGAAGTTATCTTTGGTGCTTCCCTTTCCCTTGGGCCTCATATATTACCAGTCACTAAGTCCTTGCAATTCTAACTCTAAGATATCTTAAACACATTCTCTTCTTTCCATTTTCATTTCTGACACCATACTCAAGGCACTATTACTTCTTGTCAGAGATCATTAAATTCTCAACTGCTCTCTCAGCCTCTAGTCCCTCCCTTCCACCCTACCTATTATTGTTAGACTACTTTTACAACCTATAGTTCTCCTCCTAGGGTAGCTAGGTGGCACAGTGGATGGAACGCTGGTTCTGTAGCCAGAAAGAATCATCTTCCTAAGTTCAAATATGTGACTTAACTCTGCCTGAGTTTCCTCATCTGTAAAATGAGTTGGAAAAGGAAATTGCAAACCACTCCAATATTTTTGCCAAGAAAACTCCAAAAGGGGTCACAAAGAGTCAGACAAGACTAAAATGACTGAACTACTTCTGTTCATGTCATTTTTTTGCTCAAAATCCTGTGGTTGTCATCCCCCCCCCCCATGAATTAATAGAATCATAGATTTAGAGCTGACAGAGACCTTAGAGGTTACTGAACCCAACTTGTCATTTTACAAATGAGGAAATGGAAGCCCTGAGAGGTTAAGTGACTTGCTCAGAGTCACTTACTCAGAGTTATGACTACTTAGTATCTGAGGTCATTCAAATTGAGGCCCTCCTGGCTCTAAGTAGAGTACTCTATCTCCTACACCATGTTGACTCAAGTCAAATTCCTTATTCTGGCATTCAAGGCCCTTCATGACCTGGTTCCAGGCTTATTTTTCTGATTTATTAGTCCCCATCATTTATCCTCCATCCCAATACTACTAAACTATTTGCCCTTGCCCCCCAACATATTGTGCATTTCCTACCTCTGAGCTTCTGCTCACACTATTCCCTATGTATTCTTAAGAAGCTACACGGTATCATGTAGAGAGTCCTGAAGAGACCAAGTTCAAGCCCTAGTCCTGCCACTTAGTAGCTCTAATCCTGAGCATGTTTCCTCATTCATTTAATAGGGATAATAAGGGCTGCCCCTTTCAGGGTTGTTATAAATACAGTGTTCTGTAAGCTTTAAGGTGACAGGTAAATTTGAGAATATTCAACTGATAAATAAAGCAGTAGGGACTAAGCCTATGATTTCAGTGCTACTGGAACCTTGTAGATGAGGAAACTGCCTCTGTGAATGCAAGTCAGCACCTTTTCTGCAATTCAGAGTCTAAGCCTTACCTAGCCTTATCTAGAACACTGAGGGGTTTAAGCAACTTGTCCAGAGACAGGCCCATAGACAATATATCTCAGAGGTGGTAATTGAACCCAGGTCTTCTTGGTACCAAGCCAGCTCTCTACCCACAATGCTAAGCTGTCTTCTCAAATTTATCATTTTTTTTTAGTGCATCATCATCCCTAAGTGTTGAAATCCTACCCATCTTTCAAAGCCCAGCTAAAATACCACCAGCTCTCTGACCCTTTACCTTATTGCCTTTATCTAGGAGTAATCTCATCTTTTTTAAAAATTTTTATTTAATTTTTAATTTATGGAATAAAATAAGCATTTCCGTTACAAAGTATAATGAAAAAGATGATTACACATAAAACCCCAAATGTATTAGGTACAACTTGCTATCCTTTTTATTTTACTTTTTTAAGTAGTATTTTATTTTTTCCAGTTACATGTCAAGAAAATTTTTAGCATTCATTTTTACAAGATTTTCAGTTCCAAATTTTTCTCCCTCCCCTCCTCTCTTCTAAAAATGGTAGGCAATTTCATATAGGTTATACATGTGCTGTCATATAAAAATATTTCTATATTAGTCACAGTTGTGAAAGAAGAAACAAATCAAAAGAAAAAAACACAAGAAATATATATTATAAAATATATATTATTACTCAAACATTAATGAAGTTTCATACTGGCTGCCTAGAACTATTAACTACTCAGGCCATGTATTCTATGATACATGGAATTTCTAGCCCAGGAAACAAAATAGTAGTATATATTTATCAGCAAAAAAAAAAAAAAAATACACAACACATTTCCTCTTCCTAGTCTCCAAGACCTACTTCACATCCTTAGTTCCTTCCCCAAGCCATACTTTTTGTACCATCTCTTGGTTTTATTACTGACCCTGCTATCTCCTTCAACCCCATTCTTCTGATCCTCTTTCCTGGCTTCAAGTACCAGCTCTACTCTCTCCCTCAACTTTCTTTATCCTGCTGCCCATGGCACGAACTGTATAAGAGCTAAGAGTCTGAAATTGGATCATTGTATGGGAATGGACATCTCAGATCTGGCTAAGCTTCAATAGACATGGCATGTTGAGATGTTATCTAGCTGCAATAATGCTCAGAATGCCTAAGAATAACAGATATATTGATCATAGGTATAGAAATGCTCTGAACTCACTGGAGAAATAAAGAATAATGTAGCATTATACTTGCCTGGAAAAACAGGTTAGGGCAATATCTCATCAGTCTGTGTGGGCAACCTAGTCAATGGTATTTGTGAGAACAGGCCCCAAAATCTGAAAGTTTTAGAAAGAAGTTTATTAAGTCATTTTGTAGAGGAGAGAGAGAGATGGAAAGGAGGTGTGACTCCCTTTCATCCAGGCTCTGGAAAGTTTACTTTTTAATTATAGAATTTTGACAATGGTTTTCCACACAGGAAAGTTAAGCAATGCCATCACTTTCTGGGTATCATTTTTCAAGTTAACAGCATGTTTTATACAATGGATTTTCCCCAAATCACAGTAATTGTTTATTGCCTTGCTGTGTTAATAAGATACCTTTGCCTTTCCCCCTCAATTTTACCTTATTGGCCAGGGTGAGACCTGAACCAAGATTTCTTTTAACAGTAGAATTTTGACAAAGGTTTTCCACACACCAAACAGAAGGTTGGGGTGGACTCCTCAGGAATTCTGGCCTGGGGGAATTGGAAATACCTTGTAACCTTCTCTGGCATTCTTA